TGTTGTATATATTGCGGCCCAGGCTTTCCAAATCATCACGAGCGACTTGAATTGAATTAGTACCACAGAGTTTCCGTGATTTATTTATAAACACCTTCCATTTCTGTCTTTATGAATCCCAATCCTTTAGGTTTGTGCATTCTCTAAACAATGCATCCAGTCCTTCATTTCATACATAAATGCAGTACACACACACACACACACACACATCACCAGTGTACTCAATTTCTCTAACTGCTCAAGATGTAAGGAGTTCCTTCAGGCTTCTTGCTTTCCCATATATAAGCAAAAGTTTCAACTATGGTATTTATACTGACAAATTAATTCTAGTGAGTGTTATAAATCTATAATCAAAGTTTCAATTCACTACTTTTTGCCACAGAAAATGGTAGGGGAGGCTATATACTATACTATAATTTTTGTGTTTGTGTGCAGATGCACATGTGCATGTGTGTGTGTGGTTTGCAGCTCCTTAATAACCTGTTCAGACAGCAAAATCCCAGCCCCCTTTTATTTTAAATGTGCCAAGACTAAAAATCTATTGATTTCATGAGAAACGAGTCTCAGCATGAATCCGTCGCATTTTCTGCTATTGCAAGGTACGGAGAGAATGAAATTATTCATTAGGACTCCTATTGCTAAACATTTCTTCCTACAGATCTGTTACCCTGCAAAATATACCATTTATCATACCATTTTAACACAGCACATGTAATAGTAATCCATCACAAGTCAACAGATTTCTCTGAATAAAACTAAGGAAAATGATCTAGCTTCCAGCAGGGGAAGCGCAACAGGGTTGGCCATATCTATTTTGGGCTTAATATGTATGTTTATTTCCTAAGAAGTCCTTGCTAAAATTCATAGTTAACCCTGTGCAGATTGATAGACCTTCAGGGCCTCCTGTCACCGCATGGAATTGCTTTCGCAAGCAGTTATTTGTTTGAGAAGCCAACTTGTCTCTATCACCCCATCATCTACAAAAGCAATTAAAACAGATCTTCCTTTGGGGGTTCATAGTACTGGATTCCTAGAAAAAGCAAGAAAGGCAATCCACAACTCTGAGGTGCCCCATGCCTGACACCAGTTTCCCACAGTCGGCAGCCATGGCGCCTGGGCAGCCCGTCCACCTCCTGCCCCCCTAGCTAGGTTCTCCTCCCTTCTTAGGGCGAGGGAGGGAGGAGAGGGAGCGTCTTGCTGTCAGTGGACACTCTAAGGCAGTGGGGAAAAGGGGGAAAGTATGGAAGGAAGAGTATGCTGTCTATCAACAACAGAGTAAGCTGGGAGGAGTTGATGTCAACAGGGCCGTCTTACCCATAGGTGCTAGGGGTGTGGGGTAGCCGGGTGCCGGGCTTTCAGGGGTGTCAGGCCAAGATTACGGGGCCCGAGAGTTGAGTCTGGGGAAGAGCTTGCCCATCGGTTTGTCACGAGTTCGGGGATGACAGAGCCAGCAAGACACTGAGGCAGGCGGCCAGCCGGCTCCGTCCTCCTGCGCGCCTGGGACTGGGCAACCAGGGAAGGGGGTGTGCCAGGCAGATCTTTGCACCCCGGTGCCGCATATGCTTAAGACAGCCCTGGCTGTCAACATCACCATGTAAAGTGTGAGGTGGCAAAGGCAGGCAAGAGATGAAGGCAATGTCGAGCAACAGTGTTATATGCCTCAGGACCCACACACCCCTGTACGCAGCCCTAGGTTGGAATGGGGAGGAGTAGGCATGAATTCAAGGGCTCAGGAGAATTTGGCATATTCCTCCACTAATTAAGATTTTGTTTACATTTTTGTTTTTCTTATCTAGGTGAAAAGAATAGCTGCAAGCAGGGAAATTAAAGTAACAAGGACAGTCAAAAACTTGTAGTGTGATGCTGTCTCAGTTCACTTGTAACACTAAGACCATTTTTGTGTTTGTCTGGTTAATAATCCATGGTTAAGCTGCTGGGCCTTGTTTGCATGATCGAATAAACCATGGTTTAGTACTACATGTGAACAAACTGCACTTTTGAGGGCCTCCTCAGACGTTGCTTATTGGAACAGTTTCAACATGGCCAAAGTCTCAGGCTTAGACCCTCACCATGTAAATAAGGACTTTGAGCCCAGCCTGTGCTAAATCAATGTGCAAACTACATGATTCGGATGTGCTATTCAGCATGTCACAATAATTTTAAGGTAATATAAAAATTACTTTGACTGTATAAGCTATGTAACATAGTCAAATGATAACAGTGGTGCAATCAAACATATTGATGTTGGGAAGGGACCAAATGATCTGTAGATTTCACTTGACTGTAAAAACTGCAATGATGGGGTTGTGGGAAGAACCCCTTACCTGTCCTCTCTCCTTCTCTCTACCTCTCTCCACACAAGCAAACTTGTAGATATGGAACTTCTGCTACAGTGAGATGCTTCACTCATCCTGTGGCTGAATGTGACCCACTGGATTTACAGGTAGATTTAGATTAGCTTTAATAGATTTCTTACCCAGCTTTCATCATGAGATTCCAACAATGGAACTATTAACAACAATGAAAATATACAATATTTTTAAAAATCAGTTAAAAGACATCTGCATTACATGGCTTTCAACACCAGCTGAAGATGTCTCTCTTCGCCAAGGCTTTTTTTTTGAGGGGGGGGGAGGTGTGGATGATTATTGCAGCCCATTCGTAATTAGTATTATTAGTTCTTTTACACATACATTTATTCATTAAGAGAAATTAATTGGCCTTATCTGATGGTGGTAGGGGGGCAATGGGAAGGAAGGGAGGAACAGCAGGACATGAAATTCAAACAGTGGGTGGATGATAACTACTTTAATACTGCTTTAAAGCCTAATTTATAGATGTGTTGAGATAAGGGGTTTTATTTGGTCCCTATGACAAAGAGATGATGAAGAAAAGACACCTGCTGCAGGAGAGGGACTGCCAGAAACATCATGGGAGGGTTGTTTCTAGGACCAAGGTGAATCTGTCAAGCTCCCCTGTTATTTTTGCTGCTGGATGCTGCAAGTTGTTAATGTAATTTTGTTATATTTATAGTACTGAAATGTATGTGGTATTTTGTACTGCACCATTGTTTTATTACGTTATGAACTTGTTTTTCCACTTTTGGATTTTGAAACGCATTCCTATTTTCTTTGTTATAAGTCACTTTAAGCATGATGTGTGTGTGTGTGTGTGTGTGTGTGTGTGTGTGTGTGTGTGTGTGTAAAGTGGCATACATATAACATTATGAATGAATGAATGACACTTAAGTAATTCCTATCGTAGTCAAACTTTCTATATAAGGGCATTTTCCCAAACATCTCCTCTTCAAGTTTGCTAAGTTGTAGTGCAATGGGAATTACCGTACTTTACTTTGATTTCTGTCTACAAACTAACTGCACATACATTTATTATCTTTATTTTTCTGCAAGGGGGAAACATACGTATTTTACTATCAAACAATATTGCTTTGATATTATTTCACCACTTATTTGTCAGTGTTCTAAAAGTACCAATAGAGTATGACTGCAAAAAATATAATCTCCAAGCTATTCATCACGGTAATCATGCATAAAAGAAAACATCTAGCCCAGGCATAGGCAAACTCGGCCCTCCAGCTGTTTTGGGACTACAGTTCCCATCATCCCTGACCACTAGTCCTGTTAGCTAGGGATGACTGGAGTTGTAGTCCCAAAACATCTGGAGGGCCGAGTTTGCCTATGCCTGATCCAGCACAAAGTAATTAATATATCAATATTCTTACAGTTCCTCAGATAAAATAAGACCACAGAATCCTATCCTTACCAAGGCCTCCTGGCTCTTAACACCACAAAAAAATCTACTGGTAAACATGGTAAACATATTTGCAATTGTACTTGCAATACAGTGACAAAATAATGTCAGCATGCTTTGTTAAAATAATTTACAGCATTCTACAAATTGTATTTCAATAAGGAAGACTGCCTATCTGTGTGCTTTTTCCACAATCTAGACACCACCTCAACATACTTAAGAACATTCACAGGAGCAACAACAATGCTGAAAATAGGTCTACTCCTTTCTCCCCTCTTGCAGCTTAGAGGGCATTGAGTGGGTGGGGACAGCACTGGCAGATGGCAGGTGCTTTGCTAGCCTCAGGAGCCACAATTAAAATGCAGAAGCTGCGATGGCAGTGGAATCCATTGCAGCAGAGTGAGGTTCTTGGAAAACAGTTGCACTGTAGCATGGAGCAGTCAACAGACTGGAGAGGAAGTTTGGGACCTACCCATTTAAGATTGGGGTGCAAAATTTGGTATGTAGGCTGACAGTAATCTGGACACATGGAAGGATGACCATCAGTTGGCTAATCAATGGGATGGGAGATCTGGGAAAGAACTAAAAGGGAAGAGGCCAAAAGTCATTTTATTGCATCTTTGGGGCAATGATTTGTGATTATTTAGGGGACAACTGATTCTCCCTTGCTGACTTTCAGCACCTGAAGAAACAGTGGCTGGGCTGTGTTTATACATAAATTGTTCTCAGCATGGAGGAGGGAAAATGATGGCGGGTGATAAAGCCACTTGACAACTTGCATAGATGAGACAAGGAAAACCTACCTGAACAGGGCAAGCATAGACTTCCAGCTGATCTAGAGCAAGGCCTAAAACTCTGTGCTCTGAAACTTTCATGCAGTAGCTACAGAAAATAGTAAATCAGCTTTGTTGATCAACAACGAATTTGACTACAGCATAAAACCTTTCTACGGATAACTTTTCCGCAAGGCAAAAGAGACAAAAGGTTAGACCCAGACACAGAATGCAATCCCACACCCACTTGGCTGGGAGTGAGCCCCATTGATATCAAGAGTTTTATTTAGTGTGCAATCACACAAATGCACCCTTGAAAGTCAATCATGCTCCAGTCATATTGAAAGCAGTTATTCTTCTCTAACTTGTCCTTTTGATTTCAATGAGTCTGGATCCAACCTCTTGAGTTGTATATCACGACAAACATCTTTTCTTTTTTGGCACAGAGTTACTTACCCATGAAGTTGAGATAACCCTCTCCTCCCATGGCATGAGTTATGAGGCGAATCATTTTATGAAGCTGTATTCCTCGATCAATAACTGGAGTAAAAGGTGAGATGACACTCATGTTCTCATACATCTCTGCATCCATCAGCCGAAACGCCAGGGTCTTGTCGCCAACCAGAGCCTGCGTTGACAAATAAAGGGGTGAGGAAAGAAATCTTCTGCATTTCATTGGTTCCTAAGCTACATATTAAAGACATGTTCTAGTACAAATAAAGTAACATGCTGCCCAACTCAGTTAAACATTAGCAACTGTGCTCCTAACAAACGAGCTCTGCTCACCTGTCAATTTTAGCCTGCCAGGGATGGAAGAGATAAATCCCTTTGGCCAGAAAAGCTTCCTTACTTTGATCTGGATGTATAACTAGGGAAGGGACTCTCATGCAATACAAAATCCTGAAGAGCAGTGGCTGTTTTCTGTTCCTAGAAAAAAAGCTTCCAGTACTCACCATGACCCTCTTCCCCCCTTTTCTCTCTATCACACCTTCTCCTGCACTGCCCACAATTAATTAATGCCCAACTTTGCACATCCATTCCCCTTATTCAACCTCTCCCTCTACCTTGCCCCATCTGCTCTTCACACCCAACCAGCATCCCACCCCTTCCCTTCCCCTTCTCCCAGCCGCAACATCTGCACTCACCTCTACAGCTTGCCCCAGCCACAGAATGGAGGACGGTAGTACTAGCAGCAGAGGCTGCTGCCTCCTTCCCCTTCTCTCCCTCCTTCCCCGCCCACAGACATGCTGGGTTTCTGTGTTCACCAAGATTTTTTATCCTTCTTCAAAATTTTCCCTAGGTCTTTGAACAATATCTCAGAATTTCAATGTTTCTCTCAAGCTTTGTACCTGGTCATGACTCTCTGCATACGCAATGTATTTCTCTCCGTATCTCCTATTTGTTAGCGTGAACACTATATTGCCCATATCCCAGTCTTCATCCTTAAGCTCCTTAATTATCTGCAAAATTAAAAAGGAATCATTCAAAATTACTGTTGTTTGTTACACTGTATCACTTTTTTCCACGCTTCGCCCTCTGAATTGTCAAGCTAACATTCGTATTCTGAGTCTTTCAGAAGAACTGAAATGGTAAAAGTCTACTTTTTGATGTCCCAAATGGTATTCTTCTTTCAACTCCGTAATATACTGTAGCATTTTAAAGTCCATATTTTACTTTTCTGCCAAAACAGCTGCCAACGTCTGATTATTAACTATGCATGTCAGTGTTATTTAAATTGATTTTCTCTATACTTCTGTAAAACAATGAGGGCTACTTGCCATCATTTTAATGGTTGACTAAATGTAGCAATTTCACTGCTAAACCTTCCTGTTCCTTATTATGCAATACTGCATAAGCCTCTGATGATTGCTGAACCTTAAAAGAAGAAGAGTTATTTCTGTAGTGTTTCACTGGGTATTTTACTGTCTGGCATGCAGCATAGGAAATGCTTGGAGCAAGTTAAAAATTAATTAATATCAAAACAGGCTAATCTGCTATTAGACCGTGTCAAAATGAAAAGGCGAATTCTTTACTTTCATGTTGTTAATCTATGTGACAAAGTAGCTTGTGTGCAAAAATACAAAAAATGTGCATACCATCTTTTTCTTCTGCTTAATATTGAGCGCCAGGTATACAAACAAATCTTTATTAGGCTACATTTTTATTGGGAAGACGATTCACCTTCAAATCTATGCAGGTAGGTAGGTAAGTATATGGTGCACACATAAAAAAACAAGGATGTATAACTGGATTTTTGCTGTTAGCAGTACTTGCTGAATTCATGTAAAGGTAAAGGTGAAGGGACCCCTGACCATTAGGTCCAGTCGTGACTGACTCTGGGGTTGCGGCGCTCTTCTCGCTTTATTGGCCGAGGGAGCCGGCGTACAGCTTCCAGGTCATGTGGCCAGCATGACTAAGCCGCTTCTGGCTAACCAGAGCAGCGTATGGAAACGCTGTTTACCTTCCCGCCGGAGCGGTACCTATTGATCTACTTGCACTTTGACGTGCTTTCGAACTGCTAGGTTGGCAGGAGCAGGGACTGAGCAACGGGAGCTCACCCCATCACAGGGATTCGAACCGCTGACCTTCTGATCAGCAAGTCCTAGGCTCTGTGGTTTAACCCACAGCGCCACCTGCGTCCCTTCATGTAACAGTGTTTTATTCAGGACTGTTCACATAAAAGGGAACCAAAAGATACAGTACCTTACTGAACATGCCTGCATTGCAAGGACTTTGCACACTTTCCTTCCTACCCTGTTCAAGCTGGATTAACAAATATCATCATCAGGGGGAAAATGGCTCATGAAGGGACTAAGAAAGATGCTTCTCAGACACACAATTCCAACATGTTCATAGCAATTAGCTTAATAAAGGGTTTGTCTTCAGGAAAGCTGGGTCAAACACTGCAAAAATGTTAAATTTGTTCTACCAGACTATTTTTTGGGGGGGTGGCGGCGGCTGAAAGAGTGAACTATGTTGAAGTAATGGACGTCTCTCAAAGTGCAGAAAAAGGTGAACCTGCTGAACTTTAATTTTTGCAGCTGTCTAATGCACACACTAGTTACTTTTTCATCTTAGTATTTTCAGTTCACATTAGTCTTGTTGTGTGTCTGTTGTAATAATTGTTATCAACATTTAGGTGTAATTTAAAAAGAGTCCCATTCACTTAGGGATTTGATTGCCGAGAGATATTCTGCTTAGCAACCCTGAAATTTAGCTGTGAGGATATTTGATTGTTTGCAAATGTTTCAAAATTATTTGTATGGTCTTTATTGTTTTGTTGTTTGATGCCTTGAGCTCCTTTAGGAGGAAGAGCGGTATTAAAAACAACAACAGCTAAGTAGCATTCTTTCTATTAGGAAAAGAACCTATGGCAGAGTTTGGATTCATTCAGCATGCCATTATTTGGGGGGGGGGGTGCTGTTACATATTTAAACTGTTATATTTTATTACCAGAATTTGGCAGGCTTTAAAGAGAAGTTTGTCTAACTGTAATTAAGTCACAATATTTCTAAATACAAAATTTATGTGTCATCATAGCCTTGTCCTACTGACGTGCATAACACAGATCCAGATATATTTTTAAATCTTCATTTTGTTAGGTTTGCTGTAAGAATGTATCAAAATTCAATCCATAAAACCAAGGACATAATTGTCATGGTATCAAACATTCCTGCAACATGTCGCATGCCACTTTGGTGAAACATATAGCAAGAGGAGATAACACTCCCTCTTAGTTATCCTAGCAGGAACAGAGGATTTGCGGGAAGGGAGGACTGAATGATTATCCTAAAATTATGGCAGTTTAGTAAGACAAGACAAGATATGTGAAGCCCTGATTAAACTGACACTGAAAATGCTCTAAAGATTTAATCTTGTTAAAGGAAACAGAGCTAGAGCTGAGAGTGGAAGGGGGAGAGAGAGAGACAAGACAGAAGTACTGTTTTGGGGGGACAGGAGGCGGGCAGGTGTGGAGGATTCCCTGGTCCTGAATGGGGTAACTGTGCCCCTGAAGGACCAGGTGCGCAGCCTGGGAGTCATTTTGGACTCACAGCTGTCCATGGAGGCACAGGTCAAATCTGTATCCAGGGCAGCTGTTTACCAGCTCCACCTGGTACGTAGGCTGAGACCCTATCTGCCTGCAGACTGTCTCGCCAGAGTGGTGCATGCTCTGGTTATCTCCCGCTTGGACTACTGCAATGCGCTCTACGTGGGGCTACCTTTGAAGGTGACCCGGAAACTACAACTAATCCAGAACGCGGCAGCTAGACTGGTGACTGGGAGCAGCCGCCGAGACCATATAACACCGGTCTTGAAAGACCTACATTGGCTCCCAGTACGTTTCCGAGCACAATTCAAAGTGTTGGTGCTGACCTTTAAAGCCCTAAACGGCCTCGGTCCAGTATATCTGAAGGAGCATCTCCTCCCCCATCGTTCTGCCCGGACACTGAGGTCCAGCTCCGAGGGCCTTCTGGCGGTTCCCTCACTGCGAGAGGCCAAGTTACAGGGAACCAGGCAGAGGGCCTTCTCGGTAGTGGCGCCCACCCTGTGGAACGCCCTCCCATCAGATGTCAAAGCAATAAACAACTACCTGACATTCAGAAGACATCTGAAGGCAGCCCTGTTCAGGGAAGTTTTTAATATGTGACATTTTAGTGTATTTTTCATCTTTGTTGGAAGCCGCCCAGGTGGGCGGGGTACAAATAATAAATAATAATAATAATAATAATAATAATAATAATAATAATAATAATTATAGAGAGAGTCTGACCTGAATCCATTTGTCAGGAATTGCCATGGCCAATCGATAATCAAATCCAGTTCCTCCTTCTGTTACTGGACAGCAAAGGGCAGGCATCCCAGACACTTCCTTGAAAAACAATGCAATGTTACAAATCAAAGATCATTGTCCAAACAGCAAAACCTTACCAAAAGTTGAAAAAGCTTTCTGGAAGAGGGGTGAGCTGGAGAAAGAACTACAAAAGCCAGAACCTGTGGTCTGCCAAATGTTTCTGGACTCCACAACTTTCAGAATTCATGACTGCTGGCAATGCTGGCTTGGGTTGATGGGAGTTAGAGTTCAAAAACATATGGTTCATTTTCCATAAAGTTCAGGAATTGGGTTGTGGTATAACTACTGTGTAAATCATGTAAAACTTTAAATCCTACTTATTAAGAACTGCATAGCACCAACCCCGTATCTCCATGAGAAGGGTACCAGGAAATTAAATAAAAGTATCCAACTAGTTCTACCAAGATGTGGAGTAGGGGTAGGGAGAGAAGCTGAAATGGATTATTTCATGTGTGTAAGCCTGTCCTTAGATGTTCTCGAAATGCAATGTGAAATATTAATAAAGGACACAATTCAACTGTCTGTTCACTTTCTCTTTCACATTATATCATTTTTACACATTCCATTAATTATATGCTGGCATAACAGAAACAGAATTTGATCACGGGCAACGGTGAGAGATGCATTACCTCTCTAACACATTCCTCGCCCCTATGTGTGTAGGGAAAGCAATGGAAGAACCCATTTTCAGTGGCGAATATTCAGAATATTAAAAAGAATTCTGTTACTTAATTTTATCAGACAGGTCCTTACAGAACAAGACTACAAATCGATCCTATTCTAGACGAAAGCGTGCTCCTCTCCTGTGGCGCCAGTCATTCCACTATCATTACATGAAAGCTCAAATTCATGCTAGCCATTTGTAATTTAGAATGATATCAATAGTTCCTCCCTCCCAATTTCGTTCCACCATGAGCATGTGGATCAATTCCACATTTTGTATAGAGGCTCCCACTAGACAGAAAAAATGATGTATTGAAGTTGAAGTAGTTTTCAATTTAAGTAGAATAAATTGAAGGCACATCTTGTTAAAAAAAATCTTAAATCAGGTAATGCAAACAGGCTCTACTTTGCTTCATTGGTAGGAATACTGATAACCATATTGTGGCTCACTAGATGATGGGCTAATTTTACTTGAAATGAACCCCAAAATCAATAAGACAATTTTAAGTTTAATATATCCCATAATTGCTTCATTTCATCAGTTTCTGTTTTAAATACTTGATGTTGTTGAAATTGTGTGTTTGTGTGTAATGGTTTCTTTTGGCGGAATATGAAATTCTTATTTCCCATGCTTACATGGTAGGAGAATACTCTATATTTTTCATTTTAGAATGAAGAAGCTGCTGGTACTGCCCATCTGAAGTATTTAAGTGCTGACATACCAATATTTATGTGTGCCTGTAATTCCCTTTAATTTTGTTTTCCCAGGTTGAATATAAAATAGTTGCATGTAAAACAGTTTCACAATGTTAAATGCTAGCAGGATTCTAGACATAATTCTTTGATCAAAATAACTGCAAATAACTTGTTCGGGCCTTTCAGTCAAAGTTAGTGCTTTGGAGTTTAATCATCTTACTGTGGAAATAATATTTCTTTACATCTTCTCATTGATTTTGTTGTTTTGTTCATAAATCATGCATACAGACCTAAGCATTCCAAAATATCTTCTTGATAAATCTGAAGTGGGCCAAACATTTAGGGCTCTTAATTTATCACAGATTAGAATTTTCAGTGATACATATATTAGTTCATATTTGCTTTGACAATACTAATTGTAAGCTTTCAACACCTTGAATAAAACATTTGTAAATCATAAAGAAACTCACTTATTAAACAGGCTAAGTTTAAAAATATTTCAGATGATCATACTGTACTTCAGAAATGTCAGTGCTTTCTGAATTTAACATTTAATTTGTGAAATAATGTACCTATGACTAAATGATAGAACTAGTTTATCCAAATATATCACTAGCAATTAGTGAGCATCCTAAATAAAAAGTTTTCATCTTTTGTCTACCTTCCTGAGACTGTAGAATGATTCTTTTGTCTCCATTTAGACACTAGTTTCTTTTGCTTTTGATATCCTCAAAAGCTTTTCAACTGCTTGTTCTACTATCGGTATATGTTGGGAGGGGGAAGACTTGCTTGTTTCTATATTGCTATTTTCTCATGAAAATCAGTAATATATATAGAGAGAACAGTGAAATAATGGTACATTAAAATTTACTAAATGGCATCTATCAACAAACAGTACATTCCATCGCAAGCTGAGTGAATTCATGTTCCTGTTATTTAAATGAGAGAGATTTAAGCATGTATTTAAATCTCCAATTCCAATCAATTGATTTTAAAAAATACAAAACAAGAAGCTTAACAGCGGCTGGAACTTGCTTAAAGATAAGTACGTGGCTGCTAATGTAACTGTAATTGATTCAATTAAACTGTATTTCAAATAATAAAACAGCTGAAACTAATTATGTCAACATGTATTCTAAGAATTACCTCTGCTATCGTTATACATTCTGGATGCAAGAAATGTATCATGTGGTTTGCCATCATTAGGTACACTAAAGCTTCATCATCAACGTGCATCCCGAAGTATTCATTGTAATCTCCACTAAAAGCTGTGCCTAATAAGACAAAATCATAAAGTCTCAAGAGCAGGAAGTCAAAGCTGTAGGCTTCAGCCCAAGATTTTCAAAAGGAAACTATTAACAAATTTAAAATCATTGCATGGCTACACTACTGCATGATAATTTGAACATCACTGGTGTGCAGATTAAACTTACCAATACCATGATGGTGATACAGCATAGATGATATCCCATCAAATCGAAAGCCGTCAAAGGCATACTCTTCTATCCACCACCTTAGGTTGGAGAGAAGAAATCTCAAGACCTCCCAGCTGAAAACAAACAACAACAAAGTCTAAATATTAAGGCGTACAATCTATCTTAGATATCCTATGGTTTCTATGCTAAATATTTATTTTCTCATGGTGAAATATGAACACTTTTCATTTTTCTTCTTCTCTCCCTGATTTTTACAGTGTGCAATTTTTGGTGATATTTAAACAATTATCCATTCTAGTGGACTTCATGTTTCATAATATCAATTATCCTTTTATCATCTCCAGTTAGGTTAAGGTATGAAAGCAGGAACATCCCAAATTAGTCAGCGACTGTGAACAGTTAGGTCAACATAAAGGGCATTAACTCTACTGAAATAAATTGACAGTGCTCTTAACCATGCACCGGATGGTACTCTTTGAGCTTTCTGTGATTTCAGAACTACTTCACTTCAAAAAGAACTACAGTCGTACCTTGGAAGTCGAATGGAATCCATTCTGGAAGTCTATTCAACTTCCAAAACGTTAGAAAACCAAAGTGTGGCTTCTGATTGGCTGCAGGAAGCTCCTGCAGCCAATTAGAAGCCGTGGAATCCCCGTCGGACGTCCAGCTTCTGAAGAACGTTTGAAAACCAGAACAGTCACTTCCGGGTTTTGATCGTTTGGGAGCCAAAACTTTCGAGAACTAGGCTGTTCGAAAACCAAGGTACAACTGTACTCTGAAGTCTTTTCAATGCTTGAGAGTTACAAAATAAACCAAAAGTAATGAAAAGCCTTTTTAATGTATGTGTAAAACTTTTACAAATTCTCTATTTGTCTGCAATTCAAAGAGCCAATTGGTTTATTTTAAAATTTAGACCAAATTGGCTTGCTATTTGCAACAGAAGTTAACAAAACAAGATTAATTAAATGGTGCTTTTCCAGGCACCTATGTTTCTAAATTTAAAATCATTGTTAAGTGGAAAGTAATGAGCAGTCAATTCAAGTAGGCACTAATGCACCCTAGTTCTATCTCCAATCTTCTGCAGAATTTGAGTTTGATAATGTTTTGGGTTCCAGGATGACCACTTAAAATCTTGACCTAGAACTAAGGCTAGTGGTGTCACTTAGGAAAACACCTTTTGACAGAAACTCAACACATGTTGCAATAAACAAGTGTTTGCCTTCACAAGACTTTTAATGCAAATCCTCACTGATTTATTGCAACTGAGCTGTATCAGTTGACCCTTTTCGAGCCATCATTGAAACAAAATATGATCACATGAATGCTAACCCAAACCCTAGCATTGGCACAGAGGGTAGCTTCTGTCCCTGGGAACTCTGTGCACAAATTAGGCCCTGCAGTTCACCAACCTATTGTAAACCAGACAGTTACAAATTGGAAAAACAGTAAATGGAAGACACTAATAAGAAAAAAAAAACCCAAAGCACTAAGTAAGCAGACCCTAAAACATTTTCAGTACCTACCCCATTACTGAGTCTATACTGAAAAAGGCTATTTGAAACAGAAAAATATTGAATCAATAAAAAATACCCTGCCCATCTGGCTGGGTTTCCCCAGCTACTCTGGTCGGCTTACATCGTATCTAAAAATATAATAAAAACATCAAGCATTAACACCTCCCCAAACAGGGCTGGCTTCAGATGTCTTCTAAAAGTTGTGTAATTAATTATCTCCCTGAATGATTTTGCAATATAATTAAGGTCAAGAGAGTAAGGATTCTGTTGTCAGAGATGTTTGAAATCGCTGCTGGGGAGGGTGGGTTGGTAGGAGTAGGGACAAAATGGCAGACAAAACCACTGCTCATTTGCCAGCATGCAGTTATACTTGTCCAAATATCTTCAACACACTACAGTTATACCTCGGGTTACAGCCATTTCAAGTTGCGTTTTTTCGAGTTTCGGCGGTCGCATTTTGCGCATGTGCAGAAGTGCTGAAACGCAACCCACACATGCGTAGATGGGCAGATGCGGGTTGTGAACGCTGCAGGCTGTGAACGTGCATCCTGCATGGATCACATTCGCAACCCGAGCGTCCACTGTACTTTTATGAAGTAGAAACAGTGCTTGGGGTTCTATGGATATGCAGTTAAATCATAATCATAAATTAAAATATATTCACTTTAAGACAACACAGGCATGCAAAGTATGACTGCCCCTCTACTATAAAACATCATTTCCCCTCATTATATGCTGCTGCTGCTTAGACTTTAGCTTTGGTGTAAGACTTGTTTTTTAAATTTTGGTTTAAAATTTTTTGGTAGCACCTATATTGATAGGGGTACAGACAGATCATATGAGAAATTAAACTCATAGCCATATATTTAAAGTATTCTCCCTTTTACAGTAGTAATATCAGGCACTCAAATCTGTTCCTTTACAGCTTACAATACAGTTGTTTGTCCTGTCCCCTTCTTTTAAATATCCTAATACACACATTTTCTTTGTGTAAGTACACGTGCAAGGAAAAAGAGAATTAATTTTATAGCCTTCAAACAAACAAACAAACAAACAAACAAACATGCTTTTTATTGGAAGTTTCACAAGCCCCTCACCCTGAGAGTAACTCTCAGCTATTCCCAACGTAGTACTGCATCTGTTCAGTTTTGTGAGAAAGCAAAAGTCCAATGCGTTCCCATTATTTCATTGTTAAATTACATAAATTAGAGAAAACCATAATTAATCTTAGCCAGCCTATGTAAGAGCATAGGTAAGAAATGTTGAATTAGAAAGAAGGATACTAATCTGAGGTCAGTGAACATATTAACTCCTTCCCACCCACTTTTCTTTATACACAGAGACCAGTGGGGAGCAGAAATCTCAAGGGACTGTATGTTAAAGGACGCAATGGAAAAGCTTTTAAGATGCAACACACAGTTGTAGTATGTGATTAAAAGAAGAAAGTGCTCACTATTATTGCTATTTATATAGCACCAGCAGCGTACAAGGTGCTTTACACAGAAATATAATCAGAAGTGCCCTCTGGAGCTTGCAATCTAAATTTAGATTGCATTGCACTTAGAGTGCATTGGAGGGGAACGACAAGGGGAGGAAGAGACAATGGCAGCCAGTGATGAATCTGAGCACATGCAGTTATTTGTACTTAAGCTTTGTGGGGATGAGGAGTAGGAAATGAAAAAAGAGGGTTCATAGAAGATGGATTTGATGGGAAAAACAGGAGGCAGGAAGAGGGAGCTGGGATCATGAAGGTCTAAGTATGTAAGAGCAGCTGAAGGTAGTAGAATTGGAGGTGCGGGACAATAATCAGGGGTATATCAGGAGAACAGGGAAGAGACTGAAGTCAAGGGATGCTAAGGACTTGGTGTCATGTGCCAAAGGGAAGCAGAAAAATTATCAGGGAGGAGCAAAGCAGCAGCTATCTCCTCTCCAGGAGCTTGGGTGTTTGTCCCAGCTATGGTTTGGCTTACCATGGCGTTGCAAACCAGACCAAACAAAAAAACCTACCGTTAATATGCAAAGTGATAGAAGGTATGTTGATTGAACAAGTTCATCTATTTGTTAAGTTTAACTTAGGGCTCATTCTGACATTGTTGAAGACTTGCTGCCCCTGCACAGGTTTATCACATCCTTTTGCAGTGGTAATAGATAGGACATTATACTTTGGGTCCATTCCATGTGGTTACTCCCCACATCATTGTTAACAGTAGTCCTGCAGGTAAACTGCTTTGTATCCAAAGCATTGCCTAGCATTCAACTGAATGAGAAGTAAACAGGATTCTGGAGTGCACATGGGGTGGTACAACAAATCACCTCCATAATAGTTTAGTTTAGATTTTTTTTTAAAAAAAAAAGAAAAAGCTTTAAAGTGTGAATTGTTGTGGACTGTGTCATTTTTCAAAATCTTTACTGAAACTCAGGAGCTCGGAATTCCTTTGAAATAGGTATCTTGATCTATCACAAGGGTCTCGATTCTATTTATTTCATTATTCAATAATTAAACTATGAAAACATTCCATGCAAAAAGAAATGTGGAAAAGATATATGGGATTAATTGAACATACTTGCAACTGACTTTGTTCCCCTCACCCCAAACAAGTAGCAGCAGCAAAACCTAGTAAATCTAAAATATGGGAATTGGAATCCAAAATGTTACTTGAAATAACTTATTTAAAATAACTTCTTTGAAATAACTTATTTCAAAATGCAAGACACAGACAAAGGAAAAACAAAGCCGTTTCAAAAATCATTAATTCCAAGTTAGATTCTTGATTTATTAGATTCTCCCCTCCCTAAAATTGGAAATCTCCAGATACTAATTTGGATTCAGACACTGTGGTTCAGGCATTCTTCAAATATAAATGAAGGGTTCTGCTTTTCAAGTAAGGTTTTGTTCTTTTGTGGATATTAAAAATGAAATACATTTAGTGGAAGTTAAAAAGATCTATTGACTTGAGAGACAGTCTTTTGAACAGCTTGGCAAGATGGTATATCTTAATAATGATTTAAGATTGATTCGGAGATACATAGCTAGGTGAACAGAATAAGAAAGTAGCCTAGCCAAAAGGTTTGCCTTCCATAAGAGATTCTTTAGCATTTGAAGCTCAAGTCAGCCAATATTGGCTCAGGCACTGAGACACTGTTAACAAATATAAGTGCTTGTCTAAGTGTTTGCAGCAATAAAACAAAACAAATCCCCTACTGAGCAACATCTATAATTCCTATTTAAATATCCTGCTGGAATAATGAAATATTTTGTCTACGGACAACTATTAGCATCCAATAAGATTCATTTGCCCATAGCACATCTGGGTGGTACTTATATTTCACAAAGAGTGTTGGCATGTTGAAAAAGAAGATCAATAAGGATATTACTGATTAACTAGGGTCAGTCATTATATTCTGAAACAACATATGGGCTGCTAAGTCTGGAATTATTCTTAGGTGCTTTCTTAAAATTTGCAAAACACACAATTCAAATTAGTATCAGGGACCCATTGGGTGTCACTGACGAGGCCCTAAAAATTCATGTCTGAAACTTTAAAGCAACTACTTTGTACACTATTAAAATACTCAATTGATATCAAAGATACTTCAGC